AAAATTACAATAAACTTGTAAAGCTTACATTGCCAGAACCAAACCGACCGATCACGACTGCACGTTGCCATATATTCACCTGATGGTGAGAATGCGCAACATTTCGTTTCATGTTCATGCCCCTCCAGGCGAGTTACTTCTTCGTAATCTCCGCTAAAAAATAGAAAAATTAAAAGTTGAAATCAGAAAAGTAAATTTGATGAAAAGTTTGATTTTTTTGGCAGATAAAACATCATCAAAAGAAAGTCAAAACTCTCAGAGTTCACTCTCTACACGAAGAAAAACTCAAAAATTATGCAGGTGATGGCACATGTCACAGCAATTACTTGCTGGCAAGGCTGTCGATGACTCCTTCTTTTAAGGATTATAATAATTTTATTAAAATAACTTCACTAATTTTATTAATCTCATATTTTCGTCTTCGATTCTTCCTCTTATTTCTATATACCTTTTTGTTGGTTCGAAACAAGTTAAAAGCACGGTTTTGACAGACGTTAGACTTGGTTGCCGTATGGTTAATAACTCGATTGTTTCCACGTCTCAATATGCGCCGTATCAGATTATCATCGCAAAAAATCAGGTAATCGTAGATGTACTAGCTTTGCTGGAGGTAGGAACGAAATACCAATCTCCAAATCCCCGAGACTTACCTCAACACTCTATGAGAAATATAAAGTAAAGAGGATCAATCGTAATTTTCCGAAATACATGCCTTTTTTTAGAAAACAGACGTAAATGGATTTATTCAAAATAGATATAAATCACCTGCACAACTTATGCACAACAACGAAGGCATCGAAACCGGCTGAGGCCAAGTATTTATCGTCCGGTGAAAATGCAACATAACGGACTGCTCGATCATGCGAACCACTGATTGTTCCACTACGCTTCATATGTGGCGCTCCTTAAAACAGTAAACATAATTACAATAACTTTTTAACTCGTTTTACACAATAACAGGCGAAAAAAAACAGCAAATCTCTCTCAAAACAAACTGCTCTGGACATTCAACATGTACAGAACTCTTATGTACATAATTGACGTTTGAATCGAAAAGGTTCTTGATGAAATAGTAGAACAGAAGGACTGGAATTAAGTGTCATGTGTGAGAAGAGGACATTTTAGGATGCAGTTTGTCTGTGTTTCATCCCTCAGCTGTAGTAAACAAGGACCGAACTTTGTATGGAAAGAAGAGAACAAACTGTTATCAGTCACATTTTTCGCAGATGTCCAGTCCGTCAAAAAATGAAGCTAATACAAAATTTCTTCACCCTAAACCGCTTTTCTGCCGTTTGCATTGGCCATCAGCTGGCTCAAAAGCTTGCAGAAATAGTCAATTTTCTCTCTTGCGAAAGCCACTCATGAATGCAGCAAAGCAAATAGTGGTAAAGAACTCATTAAACTGCACATCTGTCGGAGAATTTGACTGTTTATATTGTCATCAAGTGATAATCCAAGTATCTTTTTGCTCCGCTGCTCTCTCCCTCTACAGCCACCATTTTCACTCCTCTTCCGTCAGTGGCCACGTTTCGCATCTGTACTTTACCGAGAATTTAATGTAGCGATTCTGAAGGAATAATGGACGTGATTCCTCCAATTCGACAATTTCAAGAAGATATCCCGAACCCGTTACCATAACCGCACGATTTCGCTTCTTTTTGACAATTTGCATCTGCGTAGACGAATTTACTCTGCGAAACAAATACTAAGATCGCTTGGACAACTGGTGCGAAGATCTCATTTTAGCGATATTGCGACATGCAGAAACGCCGGAAGGTCATTCTCAATTCCGTTTTTATGCTCTTTATTTCATTCCTTCTTATTATAACTTTCTATTGCATACTTTCAATAAATAGCCATCCGCTGCTGCAAATTCTCCAAATTACTTCGAAATTTTGTTCGTTAGCTGTTTCATTTTGCTGTATTTTCCCGTGGCCCATTTACGCAGCTGGCAACTTCTCCATTCTTCTGAGCTTTTCCCTCTCATCGAAACTCTTTCGCACAGCGCTCCGAACAGAATTTTTTTCTATAAAATGCGCAAAAACGCATAATAAAAATGAAAAGCAAACCATCTACGCGTTTCCACAGTTTGATTGTTTTATCGTCACCGCAACTGGCCAGCACTGTACCCGTGTGATTCCACTGCACGCACCAGACACGCCGTGCCACGTCGCTCGAATGGCACAGCTTCACCTCACAATCAACACCCATCTCTTCGCATTGCAATTTTCGCTGTTGCTAA